ATTAACGAATCGTATTAGAATCATACTGATATTTAATTCACTTAATTTATGTATCCATCGACTGATAAATTCATACACTTACACACACACACACACATACATCCTTATAGAGAAACTGAAATTTTCATTCTAGACTTTCGCCTACGTCAACTGTTACAACTAAGTCTTTTAACTAGATTTATTTATTTTTGTTGTTGTTGTATTAGTTATTGGACATATAACAACTATCTTGTTTGTACTATTTAGTTGTCTCTCTCTATCTACCTATCTATCTATATCTCTATCCATTTGAATATTCCATCTTGTTACGTTCTTGTTCATTATCCACCATCATAATCACCACCTATCTGTTCATTTATTTCCCTTTAACAATTGAATGAAGTAAGAGAAAATCAATTTTAAGGCATTGATATTTTGTAAAAAACAAAAAAAAAACTAAAAAGAATTTAGATTTTGTCTTCTCTTCTGAAAAAAAAAGAGGAAAACTATCGAGATTGGTTAAATCAGTTTTCAGGGGAAAAAATGATAGGGGGAAAGTTATTTACTTCTAATTCAATTTGATTAAATTTAAAGAGTTTTCTATGGTAAAATGAATGGAGTAAATCGATGTGGAGATTAAGATGTAATTTATTCATCTTTAAAATGATACGTTTTTTTCTAGTCTAATATGATACGGTCAACCTAATCTGTAGGTGAATACGACTGGATAAGGATATGGTTGGCTGATGGTTGCAGCAGAATTCTATGGATTGTTCTCTCATATTTATATCTCGAACTGATCTTAGATAACCATTGAAATCAGAGAGAATTGTTTCGTCCTTGCATGAGACTTCTCAGTAATGTGTAACCAGAACCTCCAAGTCTCATGGTTAGCGTTTAACTTTCAAATAACTGAATTTTTATCGAATGCTTTATAATTTTAACTTCACTCGATTTATAATATTACCCAATCACCTCCAAATGTCATTGGTGGGTTACTGCTTCACATCAAACAAGGTTGAATAACATTGGTCACTGATTCTCACTACAATTACTGTGGATTGTTTACGTGTTTATTGACTATTGAGATTTTAAATATGGAAATTCAGAGCTATGATCTACAGAGGAAATGTTCAAGTGAAGTGCTTAACGTGATATATGAACCACATGTATCCGAGAGTGGGTGGCATCTCAAGCAGCGTCTATGTTTAATTTATTTTTAGACTGCATTGTTGATAATTTTATTCCAAAAAATGACCAGTCGACAGTATCAGACGTGACACTCAGACTACAAGAGGATCAAAGAGAAAAAGAATCTCACCCTTGTCAGTACAACGAAATTCGAAAGGAAGTCCTAATACTTAGATAGACGGGGTTGCTAAACTAAACAAGTTCATACAGATTACATCTTACTGCAGGACTAGGTAAATCACATTCTATTACAAGGATGGATGGTGAGTGAAAATGGAAAGTTTTTAATAGCTTATTATGACTGTGGATTAATCATCTGAACAGATTCACTATCCATATACTCACGTCTGGATTAATCCGATGTCATGTTTATATGTATGTACAGGTTGTACATATATTTACTTTGCTTTTGGCATTAAAACTATATACTCACTTTATTCTCCCTATCTGTATACTAAGTTAGGTAAGTGTTAGAATGGGACTGTAGAATTCAAAATGTCCACATTTGTAAGTTTAATCAATTCCTGTTAATTGTTAATCAACAATATATGTGTATATTTTGAGTGAACTGATGACCTAGGTGTCATAATATTTGGTTATGAACTGTTACGTTTAACAGTAGAAGGCAACAAGATATACTTCTAAGGTTGTGGAGCTAGTTAGAATCATACATAAAAATGGGATTCTGAACAAAGTACATAAGTTTATGGTTGGTAAATAGTCTCTCTCTCTCTCTCTCTCTCTCTCTCTATATATATATATATATATATATATATATATATATATATATATATATATATATATATACATATCTGCTGTGAACATATTTCCTACTTCGAAATGACACTATAACCTAAATCCTCTCTTGTTAAAAGGTATAGTTCACAAATGATGCATTGATTCTCCCAGTTTTATTGTTAGACAGGGAGAAAGTGAAGAAATAATTTCAACGGTAAAGAAGAATCACAACAACAACACAGTTATTGGAAAATGCTAAAAGAAATCTGATAAGTCTCGCCCCCCTCCATAAATATATGACAAACTTATCTGTAAATGATCGATTTTTCCATATAGAGAAAAAGAATACTGTGGAGAGGGACAGAGGAGGAATGATTAGGAGAAGAAGAGTAAGAAGAAAATGATGTGAGAGTAAAAGTGATTTAGTGATTGAGAATAGGTGACTTGTTTGAATGGAATAAAGAGAGAGAGAGAGAGAGCAAAATGCAGAGAGGAAGAACTACGCAATAATAAATTGAAGAATTATTGAACAATGAATTTATTATTATTATTGTCATCATTATCTGCTAACGAAAACTGCAGTGTTCATTCTGATCATCTTAAGATAGAAAATGAATTTAGATTCAGAGTTGGCTGTAATGCGTGGTGCAAATAAACTGTGATTGTTTTTGATTGAATAATCACCATACATTTATATATGTATAAATAACTAAGGAAGAGAGAAGATTCTATGTAATGTTATATCGAGTAGACGGCCACTCAATAGGTTGCTTGTTTGTAATGCAATACAATATATTCTGACAACATGAATAATGGTTATGGACATTTTAACCAGACAGTTTTGGCATAAAAGTTTACTCTTTATATTCATGCACAATTTTTCTTCGTTTTTCCTTTGTTGAATATTGCCCAAGGGATCTGTAAAGAGCTATTCTCTATATTAATGTTATTTGCGACCTAGACCCACCTGGGATGTGTAAGTTACTGTTTATCTAACCCCTTTCCAGATGTTCTCTATTGTGGTTTCCTCTTATTCTAGTGGATCTTATAACGCTTGCAAATTATTGCTGATAGCTTTAAAAAAACTCAGAGTTTGTAAGCATTTCGAGAGCATGTTATATTAGACTTTGGTAATGCTGCTTGTGACACCTTCAACAATTTCAACCGGATACTTTACGTTTCATTTCACCATTAATTACCCATGACCAAATACTAGTCACATTCTGAATTATACCGTTTAAATGTTTTGTTAATGAGGAGACCTGACGGTTATCTACAGAAGTAAATTCATAAAAACACAACCTGTAATAACCAGTATATGAATCCCAAACTTAATACCACTGAAGTGAAAGAGAAATCTGATCCATTCTCTATGAACGATGGTCGGATCAAACTGTACCGACAATTTCATCGATATTGAACTTTAGTAGATGCTGAACAACGATCGACATCCACCTAGACTCATTGAGGAAAATCCGAATCCAAACGTCAAAGGGAATCTATATGATCAAATAACACTCTCTTTATGATCATCCAATTTAAAGGAGATACTGAGTCATAAATGCTGAAAAGGGGAGTTTCGTTTGTCGACAACTATAAGAAGGATGTTCTATGCTTCATAGTTGAGATCAACGTCTATCAATTGAAATTCGTTTTCCATATTCGTAAATGATGAGTGGTCTGATCTGGTCGCCTCTATGTGAATGTGACAGTGTACCTGATTTTATGAAGCAATGTATATGATGTAGGACGTAGTCAGATCTTGTTTTCAACTCGGATACGAGAACATGTTCGAATGTGGTTGTATAAGGGTGAGAATAAAGTAGTTAGGAGTTGCATTTCTTGAGAATTTAATCAATTCTAATCACTCCACTGATCCACATGTTTATTTATGGAATTATTTATTTATAGAACTTATTCAGAACCACTAATATTTCTCTGTTTTCAAGTGGTTCGAACAGCAGAAGTTCTGTCTATGCATGAATTGAAGCAGGAACCCTGTATAAAATAATGATATTTTGTAATAAACATAAATTTGTTGAAAACATAAATCGATTCAATGAACTTCGTGGTTTTATTGTTTACATTGGAATTATATGTCCATCATCATAAAACAAGTCCTGATATGTAATCCCGAATAAAAGTCGTTGAGTGACAGATCAATGAACACTTTGTACTGAGAATTGGAGGGATATATAAAATGAATGAATAGTAGTTTGCCATAACCGGAAAGGTAATAATAATAGTAATGATAATAATAATCATTATTATTTATCAAAAATTGCAGCTGATTAGATGAAAATTCACTGAAACTCAACAAATCCCTACCCCATTTATATGAAAATCACTACAAAACACTCAGTGTAATAGAAAATTCTACATTCAGTACTTCAGTATTAACAAATATTAAAGGAGAGAGTGTTTTATGTAATTAAGCAGGTATTATCATCAGTAGATGGATTTGCGGATACTGTAGTAGTTTTACAGTTGAAATCACTAGTCGATCTAAGCTTCAAAATGTAACTTCTGGAGTTATATTGAGAACCTGTGATTGGTGTAGTCCAATTCGTATTAGATGTGAAACAGTTATTCACCTCAAACGATGGATGAAGGGTTGCACAAGATCATGAATTGATTGAAGTTAGACACTACCACTATTGGATCCCGGTTCAGTGGTCTAAATGTTGAGCGTTTGCGCAAGTCCGCGTGCAGGATCGTGGATGCCCGCAGCCGAGAAGTCCCATACTAAGACGAAACAGCCGTCTGGTGCTTTCAGGTTTGTGATGGTGGTCTAGCTTAGATCGACCCGTGATTTCAATTGTGAAGATTGAATATGGTCTAATACATAAAACTGCCTAGTACTGACCTATAATTCCACTCTGTTAAGAATGGTATCTGAACTTGAAATCCGTTTGTTTGATTGTTACTAGTTGCAAACCAGGATTATTTCTTCTTGGTTATTAATAGCTATACAACTAAATACTATTTGTGATCTTATAAAAATACAAACTTCAATCTATACAAAAAAGGTATATACAGAACATTTAAAGGAATAATTTCAAGTGGTTATTCTCAAACAGTTAAAACATAAATTACTTCATCATCATCATCATCATCATCATCATCATCATCATCATCATCATCATCATCATCATCATCATCATCATCATCATCATCATCATCATCATCATCATCATCATCATCATCATCATCATCATCATCATCATCATCATCATCATCATCATCATCATCATCATCATCATCATCATCATCATCATCATCATCATCATCATCATCATCATCATCATCATCATCATCATCATCATCATCATCATCATCATCATCATCATCATCATCATCATCATCATCATCATCATCATCATCATCATCATCATCATCATCATCATCATCATCATCATCATCATCATCATCATCATCATCATCATCATCATCATCATCATCATCATCATCATCATCATCATCATCATCATCATCATCATCATCATCATCATCATCATCATCATCATCATCATCATCATCATCATCATCATCATCATCATCATCATCATCATCATCATCATCATCATCATCATCATCATCATCATCATCATCATCATCATCATCATCATCATCATCATCATCATCATCATCATCATCATCATCATCATCATCATCATCATCATCATCATCATCATCATCATCATCATCATCATCATCATCATCATCATCATCATCATCATCATCATCATCATCATCATCATCATCATCATCATCATCATCATCATCATCATCATCATCATCATCATCATCATCATCATCATCATCATCATCATCATCATCATCATCATCATCATCATCATCATCATCATCATCATCATCATCATCATCATCATCATCATCATCATCATCATCATCATCATCATCATCATCATCATCATCATCATCATCATCATCATCATCATCATCATCATCATCATCATCATCATCATCATCATCATCATCATCATCATCATCATCATCATCATCATCATCATCATCATCATCATCATCATCATCATCATCATCATCATCATCATCATCATCATCATCATCATCATCATCATCATCATCATCATCATCATCATCATCATCATCATCATCATCATCATCATCATCATCATCATCATCATCATCATCATCATCATCATCATCATCATCATCATCATCATCATTATTATTATTATTATTATTATTATTATTATTATTATTATTATTATTATTATTATTATTATTATTATTATCACTTTCAACATCATCACCCTGGGAACATGACTCAATCAACAAAACTACATGTAATTTCAGCTAGTATGAATGACATTATACCACAATGCATATGATAGTCCGTGTAATGATTTATTCATTTTGATGTGACGTGAAAGAATTTGTATGCTTTCTTCTCTCTCTCTCTCTCTTGCACACATACATACATACATACACACACTAATAATTAAGGTAATGATCACATTAATGACAGTAATCATTCCTAGAATGATAGGAATGTTGAAAATGGTGCCGATACATTTTTTGAATATTTCAATTTTTAACATTTTCTTAAACTATGAAATTAAGGAATGCGCGAAAACGTAATTGAAAAAAGAAAAGAAAGAAAAAGATGGATCAATAACATTGATGAATGACATATGAAAAGCATTAGATACATCATAAAATATGGAGCATTTACATATTTTTTCTTGGATCATTTTATCAGTAACAGATTTTATTATTCTGTATCTTCTGAATTGAACGAAACATTCAGTCGAATGATTCAATATCTAGTAAATGAATTTTTGTTTTAACTATACAATTGGTTGTGTGGTGTTATCTGGTTTCGAGTCTTCTGTAGAATCGAGTACGACTGGATCTATTGAATCTTACTTGAGAAAGCTCTAAGAAGCTCAGAAAGAGCCGAAGATATTTCATCCAATCACATTTTGGAAGGATATTCCACAACTTCTACATGTAACTTCCCTATTGGACAAATGCTAATAATCCCCTGTATGTGGATTGGAGGATTATGGTGATGATTTTGTTTTTACTAAAAACGATAAATATTTGATAGTTCTATACCATGAATGACGCTGTTTGGAATAACATTCATTTTCACCTGTCTTATGTATTCTCATTTGCGACTTCGAGAGTTCTAACGTTCGAGTGCTCAAGTTATAAGCGGCATATTAAAAATCTAAGTTCTAGATATAATACGCCCATACTACTGTAAATAAATTATCTTCTGCCGTGAGGTAGTATCCTGCGGTATCCATGATACTTAAGTCATTATAAATAAGAACTAATATCAGCGAGCCTATACAAACAATCTATCCGATTCCATCTTGCATTAATTGCATCAAGTGAGAAAGCACTTCTCCTTTGAACTACTCACTATCAAGATCATTTCAATTCATATTTTAAGTTTAATGATCGTATCCTAAATAATACTTTGGGATCAAGGTACATCTAGTTGACAGATCCCAAGTCCTAGTATCCATCGTTAGCCACTATTTATCTTTGCTTATAAATGATACAATTTTTCAATTAATCAAAATGTCAGTATAGGAATGTGGAGATTATTAAGTTTTTGATAGAGATCATCAACCGATTGATGTTAGACCACCATGAAAAACCTGGAAGCACTAGATGACCGCTTTGTCCTATTGTGGGATTCCTCATCAGTGCCCATCCACGATCCCACCTCATGAGATTCAAACCAAGAGCTTTCAGTCTCACGTGCGAACGCTTAACTTCTAGACCACTGAGCTGGCTGGCATCCAACGGTATTAATGTCTAACATCAACCAACCCACGAAATTGAGCGACCATCTTCCATTGTACTGAGATAGATACCTGTCTCTACCCGACACGGATTAGCTCCATCGGTCACGACTTCTCAGTAGAACTCTGAGAATTCCCTCACGAATCTAGTCACTAGTGAGCACATGGTAATTATCAGTTTAGGAGTTGTGGAGATTGAGTTCATGAACCGATTGATGTTATACCACCGTGGAAAACCTGAAATTACTAGACGGCCATTTCATCCTATCGTTGAACTCTTCAAAATCAAAGTGTGTTCATCATCATAAATGAATTTCATTATCGAAATTTATCAAAGGGACTAATTGTTTCACGTATCCAACTATTCACTAATTCTGGTTATTTATTCAACGTCATATGTGTAGTATTCATCTCACGAAATGTAATTTAATCAATTCACTATTATTATTATTACTATGCTTTATATTAATGTAATTACTATTATATGTATATGGTTATGTGACCTTGTTCTGTGCTATCGATCATTAGACTAAATAAACTTTATAAATATATAGGTTTCTTTGCTTAATACACATTTATAATGAAATCAATATATATATCTCTTAATAGAATAGTTAATACTATGGTTTTAATGTACATAAACAATGTCTTACGATTGAACACCATAGGGTCCCTATCTCTCTCTCACACACACATACACTCAATCGTATATATATTCACTTGTTGGTAAGTATATATATATATATATATATATATATATATATATATATAGCACAAATCTATTGTATTAAACCAGTTATTGAACGGTTTACAAAAACATACACCTACGTACTATCATAACATGGCAGTACATATGATCCATTTAGTTAGTAACAATGATCTAATCAATAAATGTATGTTTGTTTATTTTGTTGAATTAACATTAAATTAACATAAAAAAAAACAAAAAAATTGTTTTTTTCTCTATATAATTAACCATGATTGTTTACCAGTTTTTATTTAATTCAGAAAATCAATCAGTCACATAGATACAAAAATTGTTGTTTATTGTTGCTGCTTTAAATAGTTCATTATAAAACCCAATTGGAAAAATGTATAACAACTCAATAGATTACGGTTATTTTGTCGTACAAGTGTTTAAATTACATTGTTCAAAGTACAATTTTGAATTTAGAACAAAAAAAAATAAACCTTGTACTAATTTAAGAAAGAATATTTATTAGTTAATAATTCTTTGTTTTAAGTGAACTATTTATATCAGAAAGTGGGGGGGATACGTGAATATTATAGTCATTTTAATAGTTGAGCTCATGAGTCAATTGAAACTAAATCACAATAGAAAACCAAGAAGAAGTGGATAGTGGTTTCGTCCTATTATGGGACTCCATAGCAGTGTGCATCCAAGACCCTGCCTCACGAGATTCGAACTATTTATATTCTAATACTAATAATAATAGTAATAATAATAATAATAATAATAATAATAATAATAATGATAATAATAATAATAATAACACTCTCTTTACATTCCCCTTCTATTCAATTCGGTCTTCTCAACATTCTCCTGCCAAACATTCTGTTTCTGATTAGTGTTACATAATACTCACATCTATCGACACCACACTAAGTGTGCATATAACTGATCAGTTTTAATAAACTAAAACGAAATACATATCCAATCATTATTGATTTTCAATGATATCCAAAAATAAAATCATTCCATGGTGAAAATCACCTATAGAAGATTTGTTGATCGATTCAAATAGTACATGAATATTGAGAGAAAAAACCCAGACACTAAATAACCTTTTCACCCAACTTTATCAAAATGGAAAATTGAAAGGTCAAATGAATGAATTAATTAATTGATTAATCCAAGCCTACTCTTACTGATAGTATTGAATAGCCTTACCTCTGCATAAAATAACCAATAGAACGATATAAACATTTGTTTGAATTATTACTAACATGGAAATCCAACAAGAACATTTCATTATGTTTTAGACTCGTCTGTTGAATGTGCCCCCATATTATTGTCGATTCCAACATGGAGACTAGAAATTTACAACCTGTTATTTCGTATCCAATCCTCACTTACATAATAAACTGATGAATCTAGATGACCACTTAAGTTCGTCATTAATGTCATATTGTTGAACAAGTTACCCTCATTCAGAACCGGTTCATTAATATACACTCCACTTGTTCTATTTGAGATCCAATTCCGAAGTTTTAAGTATCAATTGCAAGCATGATACCATCAATCTATTTAACTAATGCTCCCTGACGAATTCGATCCCGTCAATCAGAGACGTTACAACTGAGCTATCCAGACCTCGACTGACCTCCTGTAGGACTAAGATGTATTTACAATTAATTGATCAGCGGATGATAATCAATTTCATGTATGATAGGTCCTTCTTAGTGCAGATCGAATCCTATCGACCAAGTTGAAATGTGGCCACTAGTCTAGATGACTTGACATTGTGTGCACCTTGCTGACGAGTGGCAAGTAGCGTAAAACCTAAGTCTAGAGTTTCCTGTTGACTACCTCCAACCATTATCTTATCTCAACATAGTGATCAATCAATTTTAAATCAGCTATCTTTGTGTAGGTATATGTGTACATATGAATCCACTCCTTTGATTACTAGTCACCATCATTCATAAAAGTACAAACACCTGGTTGAAATTAATTTTATTAATTTGTTGCATTTGTTTATATGCCCACTTTATATGATCATGGGACTGGGTGGTTTATACCTCCGAAAAAAAGAAAAAAAAGAGAAAACAATAATACAAGAACACCTGGTCATTGAGCTATAGAACTATATTAACATTCTATATTCAAATTCTTTAATATCCACTAATGAAGTTAATTTATCTTATATAATGGTGTAGATGTATCACATAAATTAATTATTATACACAATATGCTACCATGACAACAACAACAAATACATTTTAAAGGTCGAAATAAAACACACAAAAAATATTTTTTTAAAGTATTATAATGAAGTATTAATTAAATGGTATTCATCACAGAATTAAAATATCTTAAGGGTTAAGTTAAAGAAAGAGACATAATGAAGCATAGTAATTATGCCAAGAATGAAGAGATAGAGTTGATGCTATTTAGGAATTTTTAAGAGTAACCAATCAGAATACGATAGATATGTAATGGTCAAGGTTAAACCAAAAATAAAAAAAGGAATGAGTCATCAATTTGAATTAACGATTTACACTAAGGTTATTAGGGAAATATGAATAGGTCAGGCTTCTGATGCATAAATAAGTTACTGAATAAAGATTTAATATTATTTTAAGGTTTATTGCTTAGTGGTTTGTTAACAATCTTATCAGAGACTGTATTTCTGTAGATCATCATTAAAACTTGGAGAACT